TTGCTGAGTAATAGTATTTAGCTGGTTCAAAGCTTCAGTGCAGAAACACAACTATACTTGTATTTAATTTTTATTTTTCTCAAATAAATGATATCAATAGTCAACTCAAGGTGACGAGATGATAAACTGAAGACCCATCTACTCTTGTTTAAGCCTAGATACAAAACATCCCATGGCACTATTTTGAAGTATGAGGTGTTATCCGCTGTTCTAGCCAATATTAATGCATTAAAACAATTATGCAGTCAGCGTCCATCGTTGTTTGTCAGAGCTTGCTGAACACAAGTGCCACATTTTCTGATTTTACAGCAGTATTTCATTGTCTGTAAGACATTTCAGGACCTCCTGAGCCGTGAAAGGTGCTGTATAAATTCAAGTTTCTTTCCCTTGATCAAACTCTTGCTTTGCTCTCCTGATCATGCCCTTGCATTCTTCCTCTCCTTTCCTTTCTCTTGCCTCATTTACAGCCGGGTCATCCAAGTTTTAATAGTCTACTTACAGTTTCAGCAGAGCGGTTTAAAATGCTTATTTTGTGCAAGTGTGCAGAATGCTATTGCATTACACAGAAATTTATGATCTGAAATGTGCAGACTATATTGAGAGATTTTAAATAGTTAATTTTGTTTTCTATCTGTATTTTTCCGCATTGAGATATCTTGAGCAGATGGATTAAACATGTTCAATTTAAATTGTGGTCATCTCATGCTATTTCTAAGCACAGATTCAACATTCTAATGTTATGTAGGAAGTCAAGTTTTGGAGGAGCTGAGGAGGTGGCACAACTGATGAGCTAACATTTCTTCGCAAATGAAGCTATCCAACAATCATCTGTGATCTGATACAAGTTTTATAAATTTTGCTGTATTTAACTACTGGCAATGGGAGATAACATCTGGAACTTGAATGAGTGTTTCCATTTTATTGGAATGGAAAGTCCCTTGCATCTTAATGGGGCTATTTTCCCTGGAGCATCGGAGGCTGAGGGGTGACCTCACAGAGGTTGATAGCGTGGTTAAGATAGCGTGGTTAAGATAGCGTGGTTAAGATAG